CCATTCGTGTCACACATGTCAGTGACTGCGGTTTGAGTCGAGGATGTTGGCTGATGCCAAATGGATGCAGGAACTCGTCGGAATGCTCAGCGGTTGTTACTTGGAAACATACGGGAAAGTCGCTTCTTATGGAGATGGAGGTGAGCTACAGGGTAGATTTTTTTAATAGCAGGAGCAACAAACCTCATTATCAGCCTTCTGGTGTCGTTTGTAAAAGCCACGTTGAGGCTCTCAGACAATGCACGCTTTAGTATCACGCATATTTTGCTGCGAATCAGTCGTATTTGCTACAGACGCAGAGGCCTCTGTAAGCGCTAGGACGGCGCAGGGCAAGCCCGTTCTCCTCCAATTGCCGATCTGAGCAAGAGACAACAGTTGGAGGAAGATGTCGACGTCGTCGTCTGGTGTCGCTTCCCCGAATTGGTGGGAAGGGGGCGGACGCTGCCAAGGCTAGTCTTCTGGCAGGCCCCAGCGTTTGCAGCGAAAAGGACTATAACTCCTTCGATGTTTATGCCGACAATCTTCAGTGTTTAGGCGCAGTTGAAAGTCGCCGACAACGGAGCCTGGTTAGCTGTAGGAATCTCGAAAGATGATGTCATGGTGAGAGTAAATAGCTCTTCCGATTGTCAAATAATGCAGTTTTGTTATTTTTAGGGAAACGATACTGTATTTGAGTGCCATTTCCCAACCAAAGGGAGGGGTTCCGTGCATCTATCGCATAATCTCAAAGGATCAAACATACCATTGCCAGCAGTAAGGCGACATCGCTTTCAGATTTGAGCAAAATTCAGAATTCCATGTTTCAGGCAACTCAGACGCTGTTGAGAGATTCATACACCGAGGAACGAGACGGTCGTGTACTATGCGGTGCCGAGTGGGTGCTTGATTTTACCGTACTCGAGCCTAGTGAAAAGAAAATGGTTGGTTTTGTTACGAGTCAACCCGTTCATGGATAGAAAGCTTCCCTCTCCTGAAGACCTATCCGCGACTGTTCGTTTCGTAGTTGATTTTGAGCATTGGATGAGCATGCGAGGAAGCAAGAGGGCAGTAAGACACTGAGAAAGTAGGTGAGAGGCCAGAGACGCGGGATGAGAGAACAGAAAGGGGAGCGAGACGACAGATATCGACGCACTCCGTCATGCGTATAACTGACTATAACTAACTGAAGCCGCTACAGTGTATAATTAGCTGCGTATGACTGTCTCAGCGTATTCGCCACTTCACCAGCGTTTTGAGATTCTAAGCGCTAACGGTGCTAGTACTACAACTCACTCGCGGGGAAGCATTTCACTTCCGTATCAGCTCCCACCCAGAGCAACTAAGCCTTCTACCCTCTGGATACGGTATATTATACCACATTGGTCTGGGAAGTTACCAGCACTGACTCGTTCATCGGCAGGCCTTGCAAGTCATTGTATAGTATCCAGTAAGATACTGCGCTTCTGAATGGGAGCAGAATGCGTTTGCAGCCCGAAAAAGGATTGGTTAACGCTGAAGGTTCTATCCTGAATCCTATACCCCTTTATGAACCTAGGTGACCAATCCTAAAAGGCGAACAAACGTGATTAATAAGGAATGGCGAGGGGTAGGGGGGGGGGTACTGATCCGAGCGAATTCTTCGGGGTGCACTTTGGTAACTGCACCACCAATGCTACTCCCTTCCATCTCCCAATTCCGCCATCGTTGAAAACTTCAAGTAGTGCAGGAGGCTCACCTTGCAGAGAAGCTGCTGTGCAAGCAGTGTCACGGAGGCGACTATAGCACAACGACACCATAAGGTTCGTCTCAAAGGATAGCAGTATATCGAATCAACTCTGCTATTCTGTACCTCGCCACAAGGTGGATCTCCCGTACCTCACCCCTGAAACTTCCCACATATCAGTATGTCCCGTCCATTCGACTAGAGGCCGATCTCTTCTCTGTTTCAGATGCATCAAATATCTTCTGGAGAATACCATCTCATGCTAGCATTTGGAGATCTGGATGCAGGTACGTCTCCAATGTTCATCTAGTCCGCAGTCTAGTTCTAGAGGGGGATACTTCCTCAAGTCTTTTCGAATTTAAGCGTTTCTTTGCAGAGTCTAAGAAAAAGTCACACGCACTCGTCGGAGAAGGGGCTCCGTGGCGATCAAGTGAACGAACGCGCTTCTGCAATCATTGCCCACCGCACATTGTTGATGAGTAAGAAACTGCGTGTAGTTGCAGTATGAAATAAATGTGAACGCTTTTGCATGTCGACGTTTTAAAATCAGACTGCAAGCAAAACAGCAAATCCTGGAGAATTTCAACTTCACCCTCTCTATTCCTCCTTGTATCAGCATGACCTGGAAGGTGGAGCTCATAGGTGTAATTCCGCACATCTCAGTGGTACGACGGCGGCGAAAGAAGCGTGTCAAAGAAGGTAGGTGAATCATGGCGATGCGGAAAATCGGTTTCATCGTGATCCTCCTACCCCCTCCCCTTCAGCATCCGTCGAGCAGATATTAATGAGGTCGAAATTTCCAACCAACTACCAAAAAGAGTAGAATTATCCTGCCGCTCCACCTCAACGACCAGGAGGGAATGTTCTGCAGGAGTAGTACACTGCACCCAAGGTGCGGCACTAGCAGAGTATTTCCTAGATAACTGAGACGCTACAGCCATATCGAGCCGCAGGCTGCGGACGAGCTCCCGCTTGTAACACTATTTTTGCCGCGTTCGACTCACTAGATGGGTTGTGCCACAACCGCGGCCCAACTACCCAGTTCATCGCCCGTTTTTATGACCCTGTTAGCTCACCAATTATCATACGGAAACTTAAAAATCTTCCAATATTAAAAAAACTGCAATTATAGGTCAGATAACCAATATTGAGAAACTCTAGCTTGGCCAAACTCAACCACCATTTTGCTCAGGAGCTCTAGTTAAGCATGGCAGAGCTACAGTTCTTCCGTCCTTCCGAATCTGCAAGCTCCTGTTCAAGTGAGGACGAAGACTCGCTATGGGAAGCAGACTGGTTCTTTCGCTCACTATGATGTTCATGGATAGCCTTGAACGACCAGCTTCATTATGAGTAACCAGCCGGCTTTGCCGGCTGATGCCTGCACGCCTTCTTCTGAGGTAAAGAATGGATTTGCTGAGCGGGCCCGGCTCCGTTGCACTTATCCTTCTCCTCACCGGCTTTTCTTTTATACAGATAGTCAACAATCTTTGACCAATATGTTCATACGAGTAGCTCACTTATAGTGCACTACATGATTTTTTAT